GACCCCTCCAACCCTCCCTAACCCCTCCAACCCTCCCTCCCTCCAACCCTCCCCCCTCCAACCCTCCCCCTCCAACCCTCCACACCCCAACCTATCTACATCCGTACCCCCACCATCTTTCCTCTCCTCCCCTAACTCCCCGAAACACTCCCACACCCCCCCCTCACCTTCTCTCCTCCCCAACCTTACGCTATCATTCCTGCGGCTTATCATTCTCTCCCTCCTACCTGCCTCCCTTGCTCACGCCACTTAGTCATTACCCTCATCATCTGTCTCCTCCCTCCATCCCTCTCTCTCCTCCCTCCCTCCATCCCTACCTCCCTCCCTCCATCCCTACCTCCCTCCCTCCATCCCTACCTCCCTTCATGGATGTCTAGGCACTCCTTACTTTCCCTCTTTTGTATTTTGTTTTTAGGGATTTTTGTTTAGTTTTTTATTTACGTGTCAATAAAACACAAGAAATTAACTATTCAGGTTTTGATTTCTAAGCGATATTTTTTTTCTTCTTCGAGACAATATTTCATCTGACTGTCAAAGTTATGGGTAAGGATTTTCTGGTCACTGAGACTCTGTGTGCGGTAAATCTAGTCTTTGTCCTTATAAAATGATTTCTGTCGCCCTATGATACGTAATTACCTGGTTATCTCTCCTCTCGATGGATTTGTGCTGGGGTAGGATCTGCCTCAGCAGGTGATCCGTGTTGACATACAGATATTAACAAGTATTAGGGATAAACTCTTCCTATAGTTGACAGTTCCATCAGGTTCCTCCAAAACTCAGTGAATTTATGTTGAGGAGAAACTCAGCGGCGACTCCCAAAACCTCCAATATCAGGATTCGAGCCAACAAGCAGATCAAAGAGGACAACACGGTAGAGACGACGACGATAACTACCAGTGAGAACAAAGTTGCTCTCAGGTGACGAAGGGACATCTGAGTCCCGACGAGAGAAGCGGCCCTCCAGAGTACCGTGCAACAGTGAAGTCATACAAGGAATCTAGTTTGAGGATCTTATCTTCAGAGAATCTAATCCGACAAATTTTCTGTTTTTACGATGTTTCATTCAAGAGTCACCGTAAAGACAATGATCTCTGGACATTAGGTGACAATGACCTTGACATTCGACCTCGACCTCCCAGACAAGTTTAGTGTTTACTGTAAACCAACATAGTTCATCTATGACATTTGGTCAGATCTGATGCAGATATTACTGAGACATGTTTCACTACATTATTGGCAACGGCGCGGACACAGACCAACACACATACAGGGTCATTTCAATAACTCGCAACTCCTTTCGGAGGAGAGGTAATTAGCGGCTCAACATCTAGTAATTATCTCCCCAAGCCTCTTTTCACAGAGTTGGGTTTCATCGCCAGGTACTCGTGATGGATGGGAGGAAGAGGAACTCTAATGAGACATCAAATGAGCTTGTTTATCCCGGCCAGCACGAGGAGTCTCTCAGCATCTAGACTCTCATGGTGCTATTATCAACCATCGCAGAGTTTGATAACTTTAATTGGATCTGTCAAAGGTTATCACGATGTTGTCCCATGACGATATATGCCCGGCACCCCAGTCTCTGCTCCCCCTACCCAAACTCCCGGGGAAACTCCAGACTTTCTTACCTACAAATCACTGATGACCCTGTTACCAACACCTCTTCCCTTCCTGACCAGATATCCCCCCTCCTAGAGAGAGGCCTGGCACTTAACAACCTGCCACTCTCTGCCATAAATAGATAAATTGTACCGGGAATTTTCCCCCCACACACTCATCATTCTGTCACTTTATGTAGCTCACTGATAAAACCCATGACACTTCAGGCTTTTACGTCCTTAATACATGAGTCATAAAGGCAAGCATGAACTACGCATGCTTCCCAGATGGGCACTGTAAACACTTCTGCGCTTCACCTTGCACTCTTCGTTTTTCTAGGGAATGCAAGTTTAGTTTCTTTAATCTATCTTGATAGGGAAGATTTCTAAGTCACGGAATCATTTTCGTAATTTTTCGCTGCACCGACTCTAGTGAATTGATATCCATTCGGTAATAAGGGCACCAGAAGTGAGCAGCATAATCGAGGTGCGGCCTGACTAGCGCAAGATATAATTGCAATATGACCCCCGCACTCTCATTAATTACACTTCTAGATATAAAACCTAATACTTTGTTTGCCTTATTTCGAACATTAACGAACTGTTTTCTTGGCCGAAGGTCCTGGCTTACAAGTACCCTTAAGTCTCTTTCACAAGTCGACTACTCTAGGTTGATGTTGTTCAGGCTGTGTCCATTGACAGTATTTGTTCTTCCAATATTAAGTACGTTGCACTTGCTGGTTGTTGAAATTCATTTGCCATTTTCTGACCACTCCTGCAGTTTATTTAAATCCTCCTGTAGTGCATTTGCATCTTGCCCTGAATTAATCTGCCTCCCTATTTTGGTGTCATCCGAAAACTTGCTTATGTCATTGCTGATCCTAGTATCTAGATCGTTTATGTAGATTATGAACAAGAGTGGGTCCAGTACTGACCCCTGGGGAACCCCACTAGTTACACAGCCCCACTCAGATTTAAGACTATCAACGCTGACCCTCAGTGTTCTATCGGTGAGCGATGATTTTATCCAATTTATGACTTCCCCTCGATACCATGAGCCTTAACTTTTCTCAGAAGCCTCTGATGCGGTACTCTATCAAATGCTTTGCTAAAGTCTTAAGTAAATAGCATCGTAATTTTCGTCATTATCTACTACCTCGAAGACTTTCCTGAAGAAAGTCAGCAGATTTGTTCGACAAGATTTTTCCATTTGTAAATCCATGTTGAGAGTCGTAGATTAATTTTTTTTTCTTTAAATGAGCTCTGATGCTATTTGCTAAAATTGAATCAAGAAATTTTCCCACTACTGACGTCAAACTAATCGCCGGTAATTTGACGCTGATGCTCTGTCTCCCTTTTTGAATATGGGTACTACATTTGCCTGTTTCCACAAGTCTGGCACAACTCCCGTGTCTAATAATTTTGTAAATAAACTCGAGGGAAAATTTCATCAGGCCCTGGGGCTCAGATGTGGCCTGTCTTCACTAGGGCTCTGTTGGGCCAGAAGATGCAGGATCCCCCCCACTCCAGCGCTCCGCGCCTTTGAATCATACTGATGACATATACGTTAATTGACTACATATTTCCGCCAGGAAAGACGTTCCCGTATCAAGCTCTCGATCTCCTCGTCGCTGCAACTACCGACGCACACGTCATCACACTCACACTAAAAGGTTTGTCCTGAATAATGCCAATGCCTACGTGCCCCCCTCCAACCCCCCCCACCGTGCCTATCCTATCCCAGCAGTCACCAACATCTCTTCCTCCTGGACAATATCCCTCCACCTGTAGACAGGCCTGGCACATGACTTATTAGGGACTTGCCAAGATGTATTGTATCGGGAATTCTCCTCCACACACTAATCCTGTACCTTCAGGCACTTACGCCTTTTAATGCCTGAGTCGACTAGACAAGCATGAACTCTGCGTGCTTCCCTGTTGGGTGTTGTAAACGCTTTTTGCGCTACACTCTTGCGCAGGATGCAACGGAGTGCTCAATAAACAAGCCCCCTGGCGGGGTAAAAAAAAGATAAAAAGATAAATTATGTTATATCGACTGAAATCGTGATTTTTGTGTATCTTGTATATATATATATATATATATATATATATATATATATATATATATATATATATATATATATATATATATATATATATATATATATATTTCATGTAGATCCACAATGAAAACGTGGATAAGATAAATCTTGATAAAATCACACGGGAAAAGGGAAACAACGGATTAGTGGATGACATCATTATGACGTGACCTCATGTTTAATAAGGTCACCCTGTATATTTAAGCTTCTCTCTGTCCAGGCAATCCAATTGCCTCTGAGGATGTCTTGAATAGAGACGAAAGCTAAGGTACTCTGTTGTTTCCCTTTTCCAGTGTGATTTTATCAATATATATATATATATTGTATTGATTTACAATTCATATTAGATGCATTTGTTAACGTATTTATGCATAAGTACTTATTGATTTTCTTTAAATTGCCATTTTATGATGCAGTTAAAAATAATAAATTAATACATACGAATGATAAGTAGCAACTGACTTATTGGCTGAAGTAAGGTTCCTCTGAAAGAAATGTGATAGCTATGTTTACACTTACAGTATATAAGAATGAATGCACCTGAGTCTATAACTTTTTTCGAATCAAAAATCCATCGCAATTGAAGCAAGATATATTTGTTGCCTTGGCAGAACACTCCTAGACCAAAATATAAACAACAAACCCCAAAGTCATTCAAGAGAGGACAAATAATGACACTGGGACAGACCTACACTGAACAACTACTTTCTACTATGATTTGTAAGGATATAACTACAGTGACTACTCAAAAAAATTCTTTACTCGTTACATGCAATCATTATCTATCTCAATGGGTAAGACTTTAAAAGAATAGTCAGTCATTTTTATTTCTCCAGGCGAGTAAATTTGGTGTCGTTTTCTTGGGCATTAATAACAAAAAACCCCACAATGAATTATTAAAGTAGTAAGTTACTGTAAACCGGCCGTGTAGTCACTATCACAGAGGCTAATCACGAGCTCACACGAGTGGGAGCGGGGCGGTACTTATTTTACGTATCCAGAATGAAAAGACTAGTTATGGGTGTTTACTCAATATTGGTCATTGTGATAGCTCTTCAACTCTCATACCTGGTTCCTTTATTCTCTTGCATTTTTGGCTTTAACATTTTATCTGGTTTACTTATTTGTTGTATTAATAATAATAATATTTTTTTCTTACGAAGAAACTTTTCAATATGTGACATAGAGAAAGCTAAGTAAATAATGTGTAATTTTTGTGTTGTATTTTTTGGTGGGTCAAACGATTAAATGTTTTAAGAAAACTGAAAACCAAGTTTTAAGGTAATGTAAATAAATATCATTTATTTTCTCTGCAGAACACTTTATTAACACAGGAAGGCAACAACTCGTATTAATGAAACTTATAAGATCAACATTTTGATATGACACAAACATGTGAGAGAAATGTTGGGGTGGTGATGGGTGAGGCCAGGGCTGTGGGTGTTATATAATGTGCTGATTAAACCTTGTAAACACCAAGACACCGCTTCATTAGTAAACAAGTTGCCTTCGTGAAAACGGATCATCATCATCTGATAACACAAGGCTGGCACCTGAAGAAACTAACCGGATATAACAGATTTGAAGACTCAGAAAATTTTTCAGAACTTGCGAGTAACACAGCGTCCTTCCAGTTCCATCAAAAAGTTCTTGTAATAGAATTGTGTATCAAGAAGTTGCTTGTGAAGCATGAATGCGTGTTTAGAACTAACTTTGGTTCCGAAAAATGTTTGAGGAGGGGACGGGCTCCTCAGCGGCCAGTTTGGAATCGATTGCGAAAAGGCCTGAATCCGGGGAGTCTAAAGCCGAAAGGACGGGGTTTATGAGGTCGAATGTAGACAAAAGGCCGAGGTCGCACTGGAAAGCCAGGAAGTCTAGTGGGGCGTACACAACCAGGACGCCTAAAAATCGTGAATCCCTTCGAGTGACGTGGATGGATGCCCCTCTTATCACTGGAGACGACAGTATTAGTGAAGCATTTTGGTATAGTACTGAAGAAGAAACACTTGGAGTCCTCCACGTTACCGTCCCCTTCCTCGTTACCGTCTCCTTCCTCGTTACCGTCTCCTTCCTCGTTACTGTCTGCGTAATCGCCGTCACTGTCAGTTATAGGATCACCAGACTCGTTAATAAGATAGCCAGATATATGGTCCCCACAAAACTGTGTGATCGTCTTTGAGAGTTGAGGAAAGTTGGCTCCATCCAGGGACATCGTCGCTACCTCAGTGTTCTTAGTAATTGTTGTGACAGCGTTGTTGTTGGTCTCAAGAAACTCCATCTTCTCGTTAATGGTGTTTGCCAGTCCTCTCAAGAAGCATCCGCCTTCGTTGTCTCCACTCAACACTTTTGTTGCAGCAACTCCCTGTCACAAAAAAATATCTTTGATAAAGCCGCAACGTGATGACACAAGCCAAATTATTAATGCAATTGTCTTATCAGATTAATGTGTGTTACATACAGTAAGTTAGTTGATTATTGAGCGAATACTGTTTATGTTCTATGATGAGGAAATAAGTTGCATCGCTGTTAAAGACATTAGGACTGTCTTCCTGTTATGTTTTTCTTACTCTTCTTCCTGTATGTAGCTAATATAAGACCTCAGCTTATATCACCTGAATGTGAAACCACCCAAAGGCTACCTGGGGAGGGTTGGGTTAGGTTATGGTACGCTAGGTTAGGTGTTTAATCTTTAGGTAAAATAAGCTGGAGGGGGGAGGAGAATCTTCAGGTGATTTCAGAAATTTATGTAATACAATACAACTACAACACAATAACGTCAACGTAGGAATAGACAGGGGAAGTTCTAAGTTTAAGTATACCTGTAGCAGTCGGTCTTACCTCTTCGTAGAATTCGACTGTCTGGGACGCCTGGAAGTGGTCGTCCTCCTCCATGGTGTAGGAGATAGTATCGTCGTCGAGGTTGACCTCCACGCTAGCGCAGGAATTCTGGCCATCCTTCTCTAGGCAGTAGTCATAGTTCTAGTGGACGACAAGAAGGTCAAACATTATGAGGAGTGAATATCGTTTACCGGCTTTATATCAGGCACCACATCGGTGGTTCATTGCATCAGTCATAGTGAGAGAAGGGGAGTCACCTGGGCGGCAGTGCAGGTCAAGGAGAGACACAGCACGTAGCACAGCAGCAGGCGCAGCATGATGTCCAGATGCTGTAATGAAGTATATAGTGCTGGTAGTTGGAGTGGTTATGATGAGCTGGTTTTAGATGGATTTTTTTTAGGTAATCTGATGTCTATTCTAATTTTCATATTTCATATAATTATGCTGTAAATGTGTCATTTCTCGTTGGGATTTTTTTAACAATATAAAGATTGAATTAAGCCTTATATTTCATCTTCCTTCTACACACACACACACACACACACACACACACACACCTAGTGACAGACATCCAAGTGAAGCGGATGATCGAAATTTTCAACACAAACCTCTGAAGGGTGAAAATATATCACCTCACTGACTTTAAGAGGCAACAACTTTTTTTAATTGTATATTAGTACATATTTTTAGAGCTGCTAGAAAAATAACATATATTTCCTTAGTAATAGGAGATGTTAATATAGGACCTAACCTAACCTAACGTAACGTAACGTAACATAACGTAACGTAACGTAAATAGCATTATCTATATACACGTCGATTTAATGTAAACTTGTATTACGATTTTACTGTATAAATATTATATAAACTGTATATGAAGATAAATTCAAGTCGTGATTATCTACTTCACACATGTGTCAATTTTCGAAACTTTCCGTCAAGTTCTGTAATTAATAGTGTGTCAACAACTTATACTCAGCATCTGAAATACATTAAAATGCTTGTAGATTCCTGCAGTGAGTCTACGTGTATTACCAACTCGTGTCATCACATTATTGATGACATTACGTGTCTGTGATTGGATTCTTGTTCGTGAAAACCTCATCAATTAAGTTCACTGATAAAGATTGTGTTGACTGTTCAGGTGTTTTATAAAATCTCAAAGCTCATTACTAAGCTCGAACTATGACAATATTATATGTAAATTTCTTATATTATTATAATGTGTTCGATATATACATGTAGTTTAAAAATATATATTATAAGTTAAAGTGATGGAGAGGAAACTCAGAGCCTCATGTTCACTGCCTAACACAACTTACCAAGAGAACACACCTACTAATGAATGTCCTCTACACCTCATATATATATACACACACACACACACCCAGGTAATGGTTCCACAGTTGAGTTTGCTTATGTATAACGCTGAGTCAATCATTCATCTGGGAATATATTGAACACATAAATAATAATTTTTTTTTTAAGCTGCTTCGACATATTTTACTCATGAACATTAATATACATCTCAATCATATTTTCAAATAGTGTCACGAGTTTCACGAAGGTCCATACCAATAATTTTCTCCGGATATTCTCGGCTGGTTCATCACATGGTCTTCAGAGTAACTATTGAGTCATTGAAATAATAATACACACATATACACAAAAACAAATGCAATAAAACAATATCTTCAGGTTCATGTGTGTATGTGTGTGTGTGTGTGTGTGTGAACTTCCGTGTTGTTATTTTTATTGCTTTTTTTTCTACATTTTGTTACTAATCCATCCAATTTTTCCCTTCTATTTATCTCTTATCTTTCTTCTTCTTTTGTTTACTTCTCTCTATCATTATTTCTTTGTTCTGTATTACACCTTCAAATTTACAATGACCTGAAATATTTCCTACAAAACCACTTAACAACTTGAAGAATATTTATTTTGGTTTACGTATAAAATCAAGAGTCACTGATCACAAAGTTAAACCATTTTCCACTTGTCTTAATTCTTGTTCGAACTGAGAGTCGTCTGGCGTAAAATAAGACAATAAATAAAATGACCTTTTCCATATATATTCGTACGCATTCCTAGTACGTTGTTGTAAGTTTTCATTTGATTTTGTATCTTCTATTGAGGTAAATTTGATTCGATGCCAAAATTGTCACTTGTACGTCAAAACATGATAGTTCATTTGTATTATTTTCTGTTTGAATCTTAATACCTGTGTAGTTACCAGTCAACAATAGAAGTTCGTTTGGTGACGTTAGAAAAAAAAATCTTATTATTGTTGACGAGTGTTTTTTACTAATGTAGAATAAGCGGTTAAAAACTTTGCAAGATCACCATTATATAAATAAATTAATATTTTTATTATTATATTGTTGTTATTAATTTACTTTGGAGGATTCGTGAACCAGAAAATAAAACAGTCTAGCTGGAGTTAACGAATCGACTCACTGCTTCACGGAGTTCCATAAGAGACGGCCGCTGGTCAGTACAAACACAAAACATGGATTAAGGTCGAATAAGATGAGGTGCCTTGGATCTAGATGGCACTGTACCTTCGCTTTGGAAACGTGTCCTACATAGCAATAGTTGATCACCGACTTAACGAGCAAAAAGCTTCAATGACAAAAAATACCTCTTAGCATTTATTCAGTATTATTATGGAGAGAAAGACTTATTACTTCTTTAAGTTTCAGTAGTTATTAAAGGTCTTACTTACTGAAACACATATTCAGTAAATAGAGAAGCAAATAATCTAACTTTATATAACACAGAAAACACAATATCTAGAGCTAATATCTGCCGTACGTGAACCATTTACTGGCTCCCTGTTCTGCTGCGCTGGTGAATGCTGACACACTACGGTACACAGCCTGTCCTGACGCCGCGCTGTTTGTGGACTTTACATGTATAATTACTAATGAGTCTTGCTGAACACTAAATATTTTCCGGAATTCTCTCAGCGTCAGTAGACAAATACAAATGACATGTAAAGCAAGCAACTTTAATTGGGTTAAACTGTCATAAAATAAAACCAATTTAAATATGTTCTTATCAGCAGGCACTTGAATTATTACAGATACGCATGATAGACTATGTATATGTATGGATGTATATACTGTATAGTGTATATATTATATGTTAAACTATTCTTTGTTCATTAAAGTCTTCGGTTATTGACATAATATAAGCAAACTATAACTAAATGTGGTGAGGTTAGTTAACTAGTTATAAGATTTTTTAAAACACACACACACATACACACACACGCACACGCACACACACACGCACACGCACACACACACGCACACGCACACACACACGCACACACACTTATGAAATATATAGAATTTTTGGACAAACTTTATTTCAGATTGGTCTGTATACCGGAACGATGATGTAGATAATCATAAGACAAACTCTAAACGAACAACATCATTAGTAACCTAACTTAACCTTACCTAGGTGTATGTTTAGTTGTGATAGAGAGAATTTATCATATATGAAATAATCTCTACGAATACAAATATAGAAATAAACAAATAAAACAAATCTCAGGAAACACAAAAAAAATCGATATGAATTTCTATTGGCCAGAATATTTGCTCTTACATGCTGCCGTTCCCATTGGGTGAACGGGCTGGGACTGCGGCTGACTTGCTCTCAGTAAACATTTAATATATACTGCATTTCTAAGAAGGTCGACACTTTTACTTGGTATGACTCTCCCGTGGTGGGACTGCATAGTTGCGTTATTAAGTATCTTACACTGTCCACGTATTTGTAGGGTGGTCGAAGATAGCTAATAAACCGTGTTCCATCATAGCTGTTGGCAGTACACTTGGGGCCGAAGCCATTGGGGCCGAAGCCATTGGAAAGTAACAAAACCGAAGCCAGCCATTTATATGAAGTCGAGAAAGAAGCCAAGGTTTTCCAAGGCTACACGAAACTTTAACACCATCACTTATAATTTATAATATATACTGTATTACCATACATGTTGATGGGATTTGATATATATTCTAAAATCTAATCTAAGTTGCAGCAAGGCTAGTGGTGTCGACTCTTGTGGGGTGGGGGGTTATATCTCTCATTACAATTCATGTAATTTTGAAGAAGAAATTAAAAAATTCCCAAATTTTTAGATTTTTTTTCTGTTTTGCTGTTTAAGAATCATTCTGAGTGAAAGGTAGTGCTTGTTACAAGACTAACGAGGTTATCCTAAAACTATATATTGCTCTTGTGAGACCTCATATGGATTATGCAGTTCAGTTATGGTTACCGTACTACAGAATGGATATTGAATCCATAGAAAGAATTCAGAGGAGAATGACATGACTAATCCCGGACATTATGAACCATGAGTATAAAGACAGATTAAAGCATCTGAATTTACACTCCCTCGAGAGACTTAGAGTGAGGGGCGGTGTGATCGAGTTGTGGAAGTCAGGGTTAAACAAAGACTTAGTGATATAACGAAGGTACTTAAATTATCTTACCAGGAACGAATTCACTTGAAGCAATAGTTTTAAATTAGACAAAGTTACATTTAGGCGCGAGATAGGTAAACACTGGCTTGGAAATAGAGTAGTGGATGAGTGGAGCAAGTTACCGAACATCACCATTAACTCGAACACGCTGGATAGCTTCAAATATAGGTTGGATGGATATATGAACATCTTCCTCCATTCCTACGTTCTTATGTCAAAGTTCAGTGTTAGTTTTAGTTTTAATCCTGACGGCAGTGAGGTCTGCTAGAGGCAACTTGTTGTGTGTCAGGTCTCCCTTACTGATATCTCACAGTGAAGTCAAGGTCAACACTTGTCAACTCAGGTCATTATCAGTCCCCTCCTCCGGTCACAAGGGTTGACAGAAGCGTTGTTAATTTTAGTGTCATGGGTCAGGCTGCCAGGTCATGCATCAAAAGGCAGCGCCACCGAGTCAATTCTGTAAACAACATTATGCTATCTAAAACGACATACTGTAATAAATGTGCAGTCTTTTGTTATAACTATGGTCAGAGGCGCGTTTCTAGGAGTCTGGGCAAGTCGTCGTCATCCTCTTCAATCACTACAAATCTATGCCAGTGAGGAAGACTTTGAGATAAGCTGACTTTATTCTAAGCATTATTTTGGTGGTAAGTTTTGACTCTCCCTATAGGCTGAAAAAGGTTGATTATTGTAACGATTTATCAAAAAAAAAAACTATTTTATTCACTTTGTATTTTATTCATCATCATTAATTTTATTCATTCTCGCATTTTATTCATTACTCAAAATAAATCAGTAACGTTAAAAGATCTACCAAATATACAAGATAACATATAAGCATAGTAATATGCAGCTACAAATCACAGAGAAACATCGCAGCGGTATGGTATAGTAAT